GGTCATAATTAATATAAGATATGTGACTTAGACTGCTTTGGTGGACAGGATAGGATATGATACGGGACTGATAAGGATATGATATGATATGAGGCTGATATCATGTCCAGTGTTTGATGAGTACCTGATTAGCAATCTGATAAGATTATGTAGAAGAAAAAAACAAAATATAATGCAATAAATACAAATATATTGGGTAGTGTGGGGATACATTGGGTAGCGTGGGGATACATTGGGTATCCAATATTGGTATCATATCCTATTGAATCCTAACCCAACTCCTCCCATAGGATAAAAAATCATGTATTGGATAGGATAAAATGAGACAATAGGATAAACTAATCATATCCTATTGACCTACGAAACAAGAGATAAAAGTAGGATATGATAAGTTATCCTATCCTATCTTCTTTATCAGGTGCTCCAAACAGGCCCTTAGTAGTATATCACTTTACATAAGAAGGAGGTTGGAAGCCAATCAGATGGTTTGTGTGAATAGCAATTACACGGGAAATTAGAGTTTTAGAAAAATTACGATTTTATCTTTTATTTATAAAGGGGTTTATATTATGGGTTCGTTTTTTTTTTGCTGTGAATGCAGATAACTTATTTACATTGAACCTAAAATAACGTGTTTTGAAACGGAAATTGAAATATCTTTGTCATTATAATTTATTTTAATATTATAATAATCTTTATCATTATAATTTTTTTAATCTTCTAACGCAAAACGATGTCGTTTTGAGAGTGAATCTAAATAACTTATCTACATTCACTGTAGAAACATTAAAAGCCTTACATTATAACGGATAAAGCTCATAATCTACAAGAGTTTTTGTGGCACATAATGTGTGTTTTTTTTTTGTACATTACATAACCTTTTTTAATATGTAGAATTATTGGTACATAAAACATGTATGCATGTAAATTAGTTCGTAATTCAGATTTCAAGGTTATTAGACGTTTGTTTTGTTGCTTCGACTATCTTTTTAATATAATTTAGTTGATCCTATTGACATGAGCATATCAAACGATTATAATACGGTTAACAAGCACAAGCACATTTGTATGATCTATTAATGCACTTTGTTTCTAGCTCTCGTGGGATATTAACAAAATCAAGGCAGAAAGAAATTGCTAGCAACAAGGAAATTAAAGAGAAAATATTGGAGTCGAAAAGCTAAAACGCAACATGATTGTTGTCAATTCTGAACCGTAATGGAAAAAAAAGGAGAGGAGAAAAGGTAAAGATTCTTTGCTGAAATTACAGCTTTATAAAATGTGAAACTGGCAAAGTATGCAGAAAAGTAGCCAAACCCCTTATTCATGACCCAAGTCCTACCAAAAGCACCAGTACTTAATAGCCACGATCTGTCCCTATCCTCATGTGAAATGATGTCCGTTCTTTCATCTTCTAGCACACCAAAAAAAAACAAGAACAATTAGGTAATGGCTAGCTGTTTACACAATCACATGAAGACCCTGCAACTCACATCTCACCTCCTTTAATCATTCTACATCATATATACTAGCTAATAAAATACAATTATTAATCTTAAACTAGTTTTTTTTTTTTATGTTTAAACCCTTTCAATGAACCCTCAAACATAGTTCACAAGTGGAATAAAGTGCTCATCAATTTGATCAATGAATGTAATTCAACACCAACAGGATCCTTTGAGTTAAACCATAATATATATCGTGATTCTCTAACTCAAAGGTTACATTTTAAAAACAGTGTAGTCGTGGTGTAGTTATTTGTGTCCCCCAGCTATAAAGAGAGGCAGAGCAAAACACGGTGTGGGATTTTCAATAATCAATAGTGCTCGTACTTTTGCCAACAGAGTAACATAATAATGCACCTCTTTAGTATATAGAGCCTGGACCTTTGTTCCTTTGCCGCCTTCAGGCACCTCTTCTTCAAGCTTGAAGCCTGTTCACAATGACTTGCTTTTGTGGAAGTTGAAGGGGTTGAGAAACATTCATCCATGTTCTATGGGTGTCCTTGTCCTTTATTTGTTGTGACTCTATGAAGGTAATTAAAAAGGGTAGGTAGGCACTAGACAGACACAACTCGGGGACAGAAATTTGAGAGTTGAGAGGGAGAGTGCATGAGTGAGTGTGTGTGTGTGTGTGAGAGAGCGAGAGAAGAGGAAGTGTGACTGTGAAGAGAAACGAGGTCCCTAATGTATGTACCAATTGCCTATGGGCCTATAGCCTTGTTGTCTATGCAGGATGTAACTCACAATGTGGCCCTCCAAGTGGGTTCAGCCCGTGACAAACCAAAGATGTTGGAAAAAAATATTTCAACTCATTGGCAAAAAAGCAAACCTTGGCTCAAATGATACAGTATTATTGTGTTTCCCTTTTCTCATATCACATCAAGTAATATTTCTTATGCATAGATACAATAAAAGATGGAGCTCATCTTTTGTTAAAAAATAATAATAATAATAATAACACGAATTTTGATACCTTATAATATGAGAAAGTAATATTTTATTTCATGAGAAAATGATTTCTTATTATTATCAGGCTCTATCTCATTTTAAACATTTAATTCCAAAATGAAAATATAACTAAGCGACTTTGTCCCTCACAAAACCAAAATAACTCGTAGCTTCTTTGTCATTATTTTAACCTTCCATACTCTCCAAACAAGGTTAAAGACCTAATTTGTAATAAAAGAAATAAAATAAATAAAATAAAATCAAAGTATTGCATTAATTTTCGTAACTACTTATTTATTTACAAACAAACTATTTTGAAATTTTGAAATTTAAACTTATAAAAGATATGATAAAAAAAGATTATACTACAATCTTTTTTATCCTAATAACCTTCTTTCAACTGTTTTATTATTGTTACATCAAACTCGAATTAACGGCTCCTAGTTCATGTCATTTTATAATTGTTAATTTGTTTTTATCTAATAATAACAAAAAAATTACGAATTTTTTTTTGTAAAGATAAGACAGTTTGTGCATATAAATTATGGGTTCGTTTTTTTTACCGTCAATGTAGATAAGTTATCCACATTGAGCCCAAAACGACGTCGTTTTGAGACGGAAATCAAGGTATTTTTGTAATTATAATTTATTTCAGGGTTATAATAATCTTTTTCATTATAATTTTTTAATTTTTTAACTCAAAACGACGTCGTTTTGGGAGCGAATATAGATAACTTATCTACATTCACTTTAGAAATGTTAAAGCCATAAATTATCTTTAAAAAACCACTTTTAAAAGGTATAAACATTTTTTTTTTTTGGTAAGCAAGGTATAAACATTTTTTTTTTTTTTTTTGGAAACTGATCCTAATTATTTCTTTGAGGCGAATGAGAACCCTCTGGTATCCCCACGGGTTCGACTCTTTGAGCCGCCTATGAGACTAATCCAGAGTTCGGGTGCGAGTCCAAGGATTACGGTACTTATGTCCCTCCCCAGATAGTGTTGGTGAGATTCGAACCGATGTCCTCTCCCGCCACTCCGTCCCCATGCTATCAACTGAGCCACCTCACTTGGGTTGTATAACCATTTTATTATTGTTTGATTAAACTCAAATCAATGGTTTTTAGTTAATGCTATTTTTTATCATTGATTTGATTTTAATATAATATTAAAAAATTATAAGGATAAAGAAATTATAAATACAATATTTCTCATAAAAAAAACTTTTTAAAAAATATAACAATGATGCATCAAATGCAACAATCTATATGCTGCTAATTATTATTATTATTATTAAAAATTAAATAAAGTTATGTTATTTGAGCATTATCATTTATTAATTATTATATTCTTAATTCTTTGGTTAGTTTCAATAATTTGAGCAATCCTTCATTGTCATTAACCACTTCACAATTAAACTCAGCTGTAGGGGGGGACGGGGTGTAACTCGTACCTAACATTTGATATTATTAGGCTCATGGAGAAATACATACCCAGCTAATCAATGATTTTTTTTTTTTTGGTAATTAGCTAATCAATGATTTACTTGTTAAAATCGAGATCTTAAATAAAATTGAACAAAGATTAAAAAATTGTAAAACGTAAAATTATAATATAAAAAAATCGTAAAAAATATAAAAACATAAAAGTGTTTTAAATATTAATAAAATTGTTTTGATAAAAAAAATCATAAAATCGTAAAATCATAATGATAAATCAAAATTTTAATAACAATGCTCACACCCTAAAACAAAAAACCAAAAATTAAAAATTAAATAAAAAAATAAATGAAGTAAAGATTTTGGGTGTGTTTGATTGTGTTCTGATTTTTTGTTCTTAAAATTGTTTTGTAAAATAGTTATGGAAACAGTTGGGCTATTTGACCATTTTACCCCTCATTAATTAATTAATAACCATTTTGCCCCTGATTCAAAATTATCTACCAATCTGTCCCTCTTTAATCGACTACTTTACATTTTTAATCGACTAAATGGTTGTTGGGAGATTTAATCGACTAAATCTCCCTACTTAATCGATTAAAAAATCATACTGACTTCTTTCCCTTTGTTGTCAAATATGGAGATTTAGTCGACTAAAGAGACTAAATCTCCCAACAACCATTTTTGCCTGTTTTGGCCATTTAGTCGATTAAAAATGCAAGGTAGTCGATTAAAGAGGGGCATATTGGTAGATAGTTTTGAATCAGAGACAAAATGATTATTAATTAATTAATAAGGGACAAAAGGGTGAAAAAGTCGAAACAGTTATTTTCTGTATTTTTTAATTTTTGAAAGTTAAAAACCAAAACAGAAAACAAAAACAACTCATACATGTTTTTAAATTTAATTCTAAAACAAAAAAACAGTTAAAGTTTTCAAAACATTTTTTACAAAACAAACTTTACCAAACGAGTATTTTAGTTTTTTTATTCTGAACACTAAAAAACTGTTTTTAAAAACAACAATCAAGCCTTTATATCTAGAACGTCATCGTTTGGTAGAAGCTGCACACAACGAAGCTTACTTGCGAAAGAGGCGATCGAAACCGTATACAGATAAGTATCAGTAAAAGGTTCCGTGTTCCACTCAAACAGAAAAACAACGAAGAAAAGAACAGAAAACAAAACCCTAATTCAAATCCATTATCCATACATCATTAAATTTTCCATCTGTTTCCTTCACACGGAGACAGAGACAGAGGCTCTTTCGTTTGGCGGAGCAAAGCCATCGATCCTTTCGTGTTTGGTACGTGAAATTTGTTTTGTTTTCTCAAGCTTACACTCCTCCTTCTTCTTCCCCCTTTTTCGATTTCGGAGGTTAAGGAAATTTCTAATGTTTCGGTGTTTGAAATTTGCAGGGACCAATCGCCCTCCCAATTTCATCATGGCCAAAGCCTCGTTCAAGCTTCAACATCCTTTGGGTACCTTTTATTTATTTATTTTTAATTTTCTCCTATATCTTATAATCTGGTATTTATTGGGAATGAAACCTTTTGATTGGTTGGTTTCAAAGTCCATGCCTTTTGGATTGTATAAAAAGAAAAAAAATAAACTATTTTTCTTTTTCATTCATGTAATTGAAATTATTGGGACACTGTGACAAGTATCTTATCTTTTTATTTACATTGGGTAGAAGAATGAACGTGCTTGCTATGTTGACATGAGTATTTTCTTATGAGATTCTAAAAACCCCTTATTCATTCGACTTAACTAACAGCTTGGTGTTTTCTACATGTCAGAAAGAAGGCAGGCTGAATCTGCTCGCATTAGGGAGAAGTATCCTGACAGGATACCGGTATGATTATAAATAGATTGTATCCGTGTTTATTCTTTCTTAAAGCGCTCTTGTTCAAATACGCCAATTGTGTGCAGGTAATTGTGGAGAAAGCTGATAGAAGTGACATTCCAGATATTGATAAGAAGAAGTAAGTGATTTTCTTATGCTATTCTATCCCTTTTCATTAGTTTTCAGGCCTGAGAATATTGTTTTGCAGCTTGAAGGTGTTTTTTTTCTTGGTCTTGATGTTTATTGTGAAGATGTTGAAAGGTTCTAATTTTGTGTTGTTAGTAATGGAACAATAGTTGTAGGGGGGTGAAGGTAGTAAAAAGTAAAGTATGAAACAGAGCACCCATGTTGAGTTGATACTTTGATATATATATATATATATATATATATATATATATATATATATATATATATATATATTTCAAGTTTGACATCTCATCTGAGAGCCGTTAGATCCAAAAAGATCAATGGTGTCACATGCTTACAAATAAGAGTCGTTGATCTTTTTGGATCTAACGGCTCTTAGATGAGGTGTCAAATTTCAAATTTGACACTGGTGTCAAAGGATCCTACCTCTATATATATATATATATATATATATATATATATATATCAAAGTACGAAATTAAACTTTTAAACTAAAGACAAATAAATACTATGAGACAACCCAAAGAGGCATTAAATTAGGTCTTTTTTAATTGTCACAGAACTCACCCAAAATTAGCCTCACTCTTGCATATTAAACACTGTTAGAGAACCTACCCAGAATGTTTAGAACATGGAGAAGCTGGTCGCCGGAAACAGTAGTAGCTGGTGCTGCTGGTCGCAGAGATACGATAGAGAAAGGGAGTTTTAGGCTGACACAGAGAGGGAGGGTAGAGGTTCAGAATAAAAGTATAGTTAAAAGACAATTTAACCCAAAAATATTGTTGTTGGCACTTTAAATTGAGGGAAAAATTGAAATCTTACACCCCTTCCTGGTAGCTAGGGGTGGCAAAACGTTAAAATGCATGTCATGTCAACCCGTGGGCTAAAACGGGTCATGTCCGGGTTTGGAAAAATGACATGAATTATTATCGTGTCGTGTCACGGTTGACTCACGTGACCCACATGCCAACCCACGAAATTTTTTTTTGTCCTAAAAAAAGAGTCGGAATTTTGGTGATTTTGACATAACTTGCGTATTTTATTCAGGTTTTCTTTCTTTCTTTTTGAAAAAATAAAAGAGGAGACAAGTTTTTGGCCTGAAATTTCCAGATTTTATGTATTTATATTAAAAGAAACAGTACATGACAGTAATGACAAAATTAACAGAACAAGGAATTACTAGTAAAGATTACAGAACAAAGGAAAAAGAAAGAATGAGTAAAGAAACTTGTGAAACAATTGTAGAGGTTCCATGCCCTCCCATAGTCCAAAATCCAGAATTTCCAAATTGCATAACCATTCTCTCTCCCATTCAACTATTTAACCAACTCTTGGACACCTCTCTCTTGTAACTACTTGATCATCCACACCTCCATTCAGTTGGGGGTCATTTTGGGCATTATGATGTGAAGATGTTGAGTCAGCATTAGGTGTACTTAAAATATGAGAGGCCCAATTCTTTCTATTTTTATGTCACTTGTATACCTTGTGAAAGTTGTTCTTTCATGACCGAAAGGTTATGGGTTCGAATCCACAAAACAGCCTCTTTGCAATTATGCAAGGGTAAGGCTGCGTACAAGGATTGTCTCCACCCCACACTTGCTAGTCGGGTTTAACGGGGAGTGGTTTTTTTATTAGTTTGTATACCTTGTATCACCTTGACACGACACAAACCTAACCCACCGACATGAACCTAACCCATCGACATGAACCTACCGTTATTGCGGCTGCTAGCACAAATTGTTGCGTGGCGTAGCGGCGAGTTGCGGCTGGGTGACACAATGCGCTACACTAACAAGTGAGGCCAGAATGCACAAATGATATTCTTGTTGCAAATTCTATTTGGCCAAAGTGGGGGATGTATTAGGCCCATCCATTAGTTGTTGTCGCGCAATTGGCCATTGGCACTGCAGCCTTGGACACTACTGCTAGATTTTATTAACAATTCGTTTAAAGAACAATCTAACAGGAAAAATTGTGGTTGATTAGTAATACAAAACCAAGTCTCTACTTAACGATTTCTGGTAATTCGGTTCATGGGCATGCTCCTTATGGATGTGTGGATGGCTATGGATAAGCTTTGGATTTGAGGGATTCTTCTGATTTGTCCATATTGAGTTCTTGACAGTAAAGTTACTTCCAAGTGAGACTCTAGTTTGATATTTTTCTGAGCATGTTTTGAATATTGAAGCATATGAGTTAGAGATGAGTGTTGAAACTTGGAGGATCAATCTTGGTTTTCTTTCCATATTCCAACAATCAAGGACTATATATATTAATTTTTGATCAATGCATATTGTTGATCTGTTTCTGTGCATTAGTGGATTCTCAATTATTTATTTCGTTCTTCTTGTGATGCTGTAGATACCTTGTCCCAGCTGATTTGACTGTTGGTCAGTTTGTTTATGTTGTCCGCAAAAGAATTAAGCTCAGTGCAGAGAAGGCTATTTTTGTTTTTATCAATAACACTCTACCTCCAACTGGTAAGTATCCTGTCGTACTGAATGTTGATTTTGCCCTTTTGGGCATTGCTTATGAACTAAATCCCTTGTTGTTGCAGCCGCATTGATGTCTGCTATTTATGAGGAAAATAAGGATCAAGATGGCTTTCTTTACATGACTTACAGTGGAGAGAACACCTTTGGATCCCACTAGGCATAATTTATGATAACCTCTGTGAATAGTTCCTGCAAGATGTAAATTCTCTGCAGTCGATTGTCAATATTTGGCCCACTGAGTATTGTTATCCTGCACTTTGATTATGTTCTTTATCTTTAACTTATGAATATCTATCAATATATTAAGATTTCGTTATCACGCATTTGAATTCTCGGTTGCTTGGTTTCAGTAACATCATCTTTTTTATGATATAAATTTTTGGCTGAAAATTAGAGGAGCAATATTGATACACAAGGATTTCGAGTAGGAAAATGAAATTTGCCCAAACGCTTACTCTAACGAAGAACTCCATGATGGGCTCCACGTGGGCTATTAAAAAATAAAATAATGAGATGGTGTTATTCAGTGCTTTGCAAGAGTATCTGAAAGGAGTTTTGCGAGAATAAATTATATGCAAGTATCATTACATGTCATGGTGATGGAATCGCTTGGATTAAAATGTCAATTGAACTTTTTTTAACCCAGTCAACTGGTTATTTGTGGGTTGTTGATACTTCGATCCATAATTGTAACAGCCATTACTCAAAAATTGTACAAAATAACGTGTACATGTCATGCTTCTTGGAGTTGTTTCCCTCATTAATTTTTTCAATGTCATTGCCGAAAATTGAACTCGGTAATTTCTGCTGTTGCTTGATCGTAGCTCTGGTTTTTAGGTCTCCCATTCCTTTTAGAGTTTGCACTTGTTTTAGTTCATGCTTCTATGGAATGTGGGTTAGATGTGTCAGGATTTAATATTCATGCTTCTATGGGAAAATCATAAATTTGTTTTGAAGCAAAATCATCTGTCTTCACAGTCTCTAAAACATGTCATCAAAAGAAAAACTAATCAACTTTTTGATTAAATTTCATGGTCTCTAAAACTTGTCATCTACTATACAAAGAGACAAAAATTGAGTAACAGTCAAGCCAATGTGTTATGTTTCGGATAACGTTCTGACCCTACAATCCTAAAGAGAGTTTTGATCAGGAAGCAACGACTTTTTGCAACTCAAGTGTTTTTTTCTTCTTTTTTTTCTATTTAGGGACAATACGCCTAAATAAAAACTGGAAAGCTTTTTTTTCTTTGGACAAAGGAAACACAAGTAGTATTGCAGCAGTGTTATTTAAAGAATTAAAGAGTTGTAAAGATGTACTTTTTATTAAATTTTAATAAGTTAATAAATCAATATATTTCACATTAAATTAATAATAAATATACCTTCATAGGCTTTATTTATTTAGTCGTAGAATTAGATAGTGTAGGCAGAATTACAATTACACGTAGAGTTGGATCCTCCCAATTATTTGGATATCCTCTTTCTCTTGAAATGGTTTTTGATCCATTTGACACAAATGAAGGCCCCTATTTTAATCTTGTGCACACCCATCATTGCAACTGCTTTGACTTAGTTAAAACCACCCTTGGCACCCGAATTCTTGTTCTTGACGCTGCCTTTTTGGGATCTAGTGCCATCCTTTTCCATAGCACCAAAACCACCAACATCCCACTGATCAGCCCAACTTGGTGCTTCGCTGGCCATGTTTCCTGGGTGCCATAAATACAATAAAACAAGAATACTACTCATTAAACTTATGTTAGATTTGTAAAGTTATCTCAAACTTTTCGTTATGAGGAGACAAATGGCTCAATAAATCGCTGCTTAATGACAAATCTAGGGAAGAAGTACTTTTACTTGAAAAGTGATATACTTACAAAATCAAGTGCACATTATTGGGTATGGCTCATACTTCACATGATGATGTTGACCCTAATTGTCAGGGTCAGCAGAAAGGCAACTGGGGTTCCGCTCCCAGGTGAGCGGGCGGGGGTCCGGGGGGCAGCGCCCCCAGGCCCGTAGAGGCTAGGTAATGTTTAGGCCTCTGTTTCTATTGTAATTTTCTTAGCAGTTTGGGCTTGGGCCCATGAATAGCTGCTGTTAGGGTTTTTTGTAATCCTATTTATATTTGTCTTGTAAACCGAGAGACTTGTAACGAGTGGCGGTGAGGTGAATATAGTACAGACAAGCTGGACGTAGCCTATATTGGGTGAACTAGGGTAAATCATCGTGTCAATCTCTCTACTCTTATCTCTTTTTCTGTTTTCTCGATTCTGTGTGATTGTCGATTTCCAACACACATGAATCATAATAGAGAATCTAAGACCCATGTCATATAACTTAAATTAGCCTCAAACGTACAAATATTTGCCAAGTCTATGAGTTGAAAACTTGAAACAGCAACGCTCAGAATTCAGAAACATGAATAGTACCTTATATGACTCGGTTGGAGTTAGACGTAGATGAAGAAGTTAAACAGAGCAGAAGGGGAGCTGAATCAATTCGAAGTATGGCTAGCTAGACAACCCTGTTACATTGCTTTTTCCTTCTTTAATCTAACTTTATGTTTTCACAGCATGACTTGCCAACTCACCATTTTGAGTATTTCCGTCTGGTTAAGAAAACTTTGTGCGGCATTTTTCTAAATTATTTTATAATCCTCAACCTTATCACATAGTAGTGATACATAGGCCAGCATTGTTAGTTACCGCTAAACCATGTGAATTGGGTCTAGTTTTCAGCCTTGGTATGATTGTAGCTTGCCGAAGGTATTTGTCCTTCAATAGTGTTGGGATTAGCTTAGTCCACTTCTATCAATGCATGGACTTTCCTTGCAATTGAATCTGTTTGTTTATTATAATTGCACTCAATCAATGTATTATCACCCACACTTTAGAGGGGGGAAAACATGGGTTTAACATTTTTACTTTAAAGAAAGAAAAAACATGGAATCGAAGATGTAGTTCAAGGAATGTTTTATTGGGTACCATATGATGGCATTGAAAATAGGGTGCTATAGTATATTTTATACTATATCTTGCCGGTAACACAACAAAAGTAGCTCTCTTTTTTCTCTCTCCGAAATTTTTTTCCGTAGTTCAAGGTTACAGAAACTTTAAGACTAAGAGGAAAAGGGAAAGCTTATTCTAAAGAGTGGGGTAAAAAGAATAGAGAGAAATTGTTTTCTGTACAAGGGTCTAAGGAAACTGAATCATGTTTTGGTGCTACGGTCATTATTTTTAAAAAAAGAAATTATTTTTTCCCTATTTAAACCAACACATTTATCTTTATTTTCATTTAAATCCTAAATTTTTACTCTTTTAAATAGATGTATGATACTACGGGAGTATCAAAGATTTGTTTGGGGAGAGAGAGCAAAGGTTCAGTGGAGCCTGATTCAAATAAATAACACAAAGTACAATTGTGAATGACTAGATCAATACTTTGGGCGCTATTTGCAATCAAAAGAAAGAGGAGCAAAAACAGTTGTATCATCTTTATTCATTCAACAAGATATGATACAAATATCGAACATTTTTTGCTACAGCAAACTTGGAGGGAAAAAAAACACAAGCCCTTTTGAAAATGGGTACTTGTTGAATGTATTGTACTCCAACCCAAAAGTGTACAAGTAGTTTTTAGTGCAAAACTTGAACAATGTCTTTTATGCGATGCTACTTGCGGAATTGGGTTTATGATTAAGGCAATGCTACATTCGACAAAGTAAGTCTTTTGCTCCTTTGACCGTTTTGCTCACTATGAAGTAACATTTTGAGCTGCTAATTATTCTTGACCCTGAATACAGGAGTCCTAAATACCCTTGTCACTGAATTGAATTATTAAGGACAGATATATTCATATATCAATTTTTATTACACCACTCTTACACTACTTTATTTTCTCGTAATAATACAAGTAAAACATTTTCTTTCTTTTGTTTTCTAGAAAAAGGTAGCGTAGACAAATAATGTGATATAAACACTTTCCAATCATAATAATTACCAGTGGCGGAGCCAGCTGATTTGTTAAGCTAGGGCCAACAAAAATTAAGATGGGCTTAATATTATATATTATCCAAAAACTTAGCCACGGTTATTTAACCACGTTAAAGATGTTGCTAATTTTCAAATACAAGCTAGGGTCAAGGCCTCACCTACACACCATGTGGCTCCGCCACTGATAATTATCTGAGTTTCACAAAAATTAATGCATGTAAATCAAACAAGAATATCATATTTATGCCTAAATTCATGCACCTCTTTTTATACGTATCACTTTTGGATAAAAGAGATATAGACAAAAAAAAAAAATGAATGGAAATAAGGATTGTTTATTTTTTTCTTCCTAATGATGGAAAGTGTAAAAAGATAGGTCTATGAGTTTAGATATAGATATTATTGGAGATAAAAGGGTTAAAAATTAATGCTACATCAAATTTATGTGCAAATAAAATTTGATTTGGATTATGGTGTTTTCTTGGCACAAATATTGGACCAATGAAGAAGCCCATTACCAATTGACTCGTATAAATTTTAAATCCTAAATTTATAAATATCACATCTTTTGTTTACATTATTTTTTTTCATTCAACTATAGTCTCTATCAATTATCTTCAAACATCGCCAAAAAGAGGAAACAATATGAAGAGGGAAAATATCATAGAACAGAATTTAGATAGGGAGAGAGAAGAGAGAATTGTGAGCAAATAGTTTATTCATTAATTGATCTGGGCTTTATAATTTACAGAAAAAAAATAACAACCTACTTCTATTGAAATGCTAATTAAATAACATAAGGATAAGAAAACAAATTGCATTTGAATTTTAGTAACGATCTTAATCTACTTATCCTAAATATTCTAGAAGATGGGCCTTCAAATTAGATAGTCATTGAAGTATTGAGGCATTTTTCCTTCATGTTTGGGCCTGTGTGTGATACGGCCTACAATATTCCCTCTTCTTTGAAGACTAGACTTGTCCTCAAGGATCACAATCTTATTATGATGCATTTTCAACTCTTTTATATGGATATGCAAGATTACATTTGCTTTTTATGATGAGCAGAGGTGGCACATTATTATTGGCTTCTAATTCATTAGGAAGTCTCGGTTGTGGCTAGCTGTGGTCCACTACCTAGACTTACTCCCACCTACTTTTTGGATTTTTGTGTCAGCAATTAGTTGTGGGTGTGAGTTGTCCATATCCAAAATGCAGTGTCACTAGTTTTTGAGAATTTTCTAATGTACAATTAATGTAGCGCGAGAAGTCAAGTGCCAGACTTGATTTTGAATTATTTTTCCCTTGATTCATTGCATTTTCCCGTGAAGAGTTGTTTGGGCATAACGTTTCTTCAAGACTTTCTTTAACTCTTACTCTGTCATTTGGGTTGTGTTGGTATTTGCAAAAGGTTTTTCCTCCTTCTCCTCTGTCTTCATTTATTCTTCTCATCTTTCTTGTTGATCTTCGAACACTAGTCCTAGATTAATCCAAATAAAGATCAACCTTTGTTTCATTCTAGTATTAGTGGTTCCTGTCATAGTAACGGTACCTATCAAGGCGACTTAGTCATCCAAAGTAAGGGTATGATCCTATGAGTGAGATGTTCCCATGTTATCCGTGTTGATTCGGTGGTTAGAGGAAAGGTTTAACCTTCGATGTTTGCCTTGTCCTCCCATGTTGATGCCTCTGATGGAAGAATCGTCCACTAAACCAAAACTTGGTGAATCTGTTGTCTGTATCCCAAACCAAACAATGTGAAACTATGGCTGTCGATTGTTGAACAAAGTCTATGGTGGTTGTTAGGTGAGGTGGCAGTGGTCTGTCTTTGTGCTTATCTGGAAAATAAGGTCGCAGAAGGGAGATGTGGAATACTGGGTGGAGTTTGGCGCCTAGTGGTAAACAGAGTTTATAGGCCACAGATCCTACACTTTCTAGGACCTTATAAGGTCTAAAAAATTTAAGAGTCAACTTTTGCGAAGAACGGTGATGAAGGGACAAATGGTGAAATAGCTAAAAGCGAAAAAACATAAAGTCACTAGAGTTGAAGGTAAAATCTCTTCTTTTATCATCAACTTCTTTCTTCACAATTGTATGTGCTTTCTTTAAATGCTCATGTAGTCTCTGTAAATTGAGGTTCGGTTATGGAGGGTAGAATATACTACTTCTAGAAAAGAAAGATCCATGGAGTAATGTAACAAACATGGTGGTGAACGGCTGAATGTGGCTTCATATGGTGTAGTGTCAATGTTTCGGTTAAATGTTGTATTGCAATGGTGTTCCGTTTGAGGTAAGAACTTAGCCTATGTCTATGGTTTATTAAATACGAAAGCCTACAAGTATTGCTACAAGTTAAAATTAACCCTTTATGTTTGTCCACTCTTTTGTGGATGGTACCCATAGTTGTAGCGGAGACCTGTGCCTTGGAGTTGATAAAAGGCTTTCCATAATACGCTTGGGTGGTCTATGAATTCGTCCCACAATGTCCTTAAAAACTTAAGCAACGCGAATGTTGATGTAGTGACTTGGCAAAAGGATAAAATGTGAGTCTTTGATGAGTCTGTCTACCACAACCAAAATGACTATAAATCCCTGGGACAGAGACAGATGTATTATGAAATCCAAAGAGAGTTCAGACCACATTTCCTCTGTGGAAGGCAGCGACTGCAACAATTCGTATGATGAGTGATTAATAGAATTGACCCTTTGATTTGGGATGATTATAATTGCAATATGGTAGCATAGGGATTCCTCTATAACTCAAACAGTAGTAAATAAGAATAAGTGGAATGTGGGGCGATGAGGACGATATGGTGCATTGTGAGGGATCCAATGTCCTATTGGAGTGTTCGTGAAGGACCTTAAGTTGCAGCATTAGATTTTTCTGATTCATACGTGATCGAATAATGGTAGCCCAATAACTATGCTACAAATTGTTATTGTTCTGGTGTTTGTATGACTTGAGATATCAAGTTGTTCAATCGCTTATGGTCCGTTCGAATCATGAATTTGGATCGTAAGAGAATTTAGTCGCCATTTTGCCACAACAGATGTAATGGAGAACATTTCCCGAATATAAGTTGATTGACCTTGCATGCAAGGGGATAACATGCGATTATAGTAAGAAATTATGTTATTACAGTTTAGTAGAATAGCCCCAATTCTGGTTCTTGATGCATCTGTCTCAATTTCAAATGGCTATGTGAAATTTGGAAGCACAAGTATGAGAGCTTATTTAAGGTAGTCAAACGCCTCTTAGCCTGTTGTAGTCCAATGAAATTCGCTCTTAGTAAGCAAATCACTGAGTATAGAGGCACTTTTAGCATAGTGGTGGATAAATCGTCTGTAGTAGCCAAAGAGGTCAAGAAAAGCTTGCACTTGTTTGGCATAATTTGGTTTAGGCCAAACCAAAAGTGCCTTCACCATTTTGAGATCTTGACTGAATCCTTTAAATGTGCCCCAAAAATTACACGAAATTTGTTGCAAAGGAGCACTTTAAGAGTTTGGCAAATAGATGGTGAGTGCGTAGTGTGTTCATAACTCAATCAAGATGGTTGATATGATCTACAATATTTGCACCTAAGACTAGAATATCATCAAAGAAAATAACCATAAACTGTCATAAGAAAAAGGCACAAGCGTTGTTCTTTGTGGCTTGCAATGATGTAGGTGCATTACAAAGGTAAAAGGGCCACACTAGTAACTCAAAGTGACCATGGTGTGTTCGAAATGTCATCTTGTATATATCATACGGGTGCATCTTGAATTGGTGGTAACTGGAGCATAGGTCTAGTTTTGAGAAAACCTAGTTAGAGGTGGCAATATGGGTTGAACCCGACGAGTCAACCCGTCAAAACGGGACGGGTTGGGTTACACATTTCAACCCACAATCTGCCCCGATGGGTTGTGGGTCAAAACAGGTTGGTGGCAGCTCGGGCTGGGTTGGCCCAACGAGTCAATTTTTTATTTTTTTTTATTTTTTACTATTAGGTAGTATTTTATTCGTCTTTATGCTTTTGCAATATCCAAATTTTTTTTATCTTAGTACTCTCTAGAAAAAGTAAAGAAGAAAAATTTATTTTTGATAAAGGTAATCTATATATGGAGATAAAAATAAGTTTGTAAAGAATGTCTGATTGAATATTAGCATACATTTAAGTCTAAGATTGAAAAAAAACTATGGGAAGTGTGATATGAAAATAAGTAATATTATAATATTAATAAAATGTAATTTATTTTTTATTTTTAATTTATAATTTTTTTTGTAAGCGGGTTGATCCGCCAACCCACCATAAAACGTAGTGGGTTGGGGTTTTCAACCCAAATTCAAGAGGTGGGTCGGGGTGGGCCAACCTGCTTTTAGCTGGTTGATGGCGAGTCAGGACGGGCTAACCCATTTTGTCACCTCTAAACCTAGGCACCATGTAATTCATCCAAAAGTTCATCCACAATAAGAATAGGGAATTGATCATTTATGGTGATGGAGTTTAAAGCTTGATAATCTACACAGAAGTGTCATGTGACATATTGGGGAGCTGAATGGTGAGCGACAAGGGCGGATAACCCCAGCGTCCAACATTTTTTGACAAAGTTGTTTAATTTCATTCTTTTGGAAGTGGGGGTAGCGGTAAGAGCATACCAAGACTGGCTCAGAGTTAGGCAACAGGTTAATATGGTGATTATGTGGGCAGTCAGGGGGGAAGGTGTATAAGAGTGGTGAAAACATCTTGATATTTTTTGAAGAAAGGTGTGGATGGCAGTTTGTGTAAAGTGGATGGCGAGATAGCTGATGGCATAGTTATGGATTCCCCTTCCAAGCTTATTTTGTTCTATGGTAAATAAAAGTCAGCACCAATTGGTTGTAATTTTTTAAAATAGGTTCCATGGTAGCCGGCCATTGTGCACCCAAAACTACGTCTACAAAGGTCCTTTAAGTCAGAAACTCATTGAGACAGGGAGACTTTTTCCTTCGCGTTCGAGTTGCATGTGATGCGACCCACAACATAATATCTTAACTGTCCAAGCAACATCTCAACAGTCCACATATGGAAGAGTGACCATTTTGCCACATTTCGACAAAAAAATTACTAGACTACCACGCCAACAGTAAATTTTGCCAAAATGCCACGCGGCATAATTCGCTACACAGTGTAGCGAATTATGTATGCAAGTAATTCGCTACACAGTGTAGCGAAATATGCCATGTCAGAACGCACAGAACCATGTGTAGCGAATTTTGCAAAATTTGACATGTGGTATTTTTGGTTCTGTGCGTTCTGACGTGGTATATTTCGCTACACTGTGTAGCGAATTACTTGCATACATAATTCGCTACACTGTGTAGCGAATTATGTCGCGTGGCATTTTGGCAAAATTTACTGTTGGCGTGGCAGTCTGGTAAATTTTTTGTCCAAACGTGACACTTTGGTCATTGTTCCTCCCCATATCACTACATGAAAAGTGGACTATAATTTCTCGGGGTCGTGGGTAAGGAGGTGCAATGGACGGCACGTCAATTCAATTCCCCTATAATTAATAATACAAGGAAAAAGTAACAAAAAAATATTCCGATGGCATTTGGGATCCTCGCTTACCAAATTTTAAAATCCACATCTCCGTTAAAAATTGGCAATCCTATAGGACTGGAAACTTGGTCACAATCTAGCACATGGAGGGTGGCATTGGCAATAATAAATTGAAATTTAGCCAAAAACTAGCTAGAAAAGTCAAATCCAAAAATGGAAAATGAAACCACATAAAATTTGTATATAATTAAGATAGAAAAAACAAAACTGTGAGCAAAATAATGCAGTTCTAAGTACCCTTTCTGTCAATCAATTTGCTGCTAAACCTCCCTCTATGAACACCATTATCCCAACGCCCCCAGTTGATTAAATAAAAAATAAAAATAGACAGGATATCTACATCATTCATGTCTGTCTTATGGAATTCTTTCAACTTAAAATTTTCCCATTAATGCGTCATATTCCTTTGATTATGCTTCCTGTCGCTTGGATCTTCTCACAGACTTGGACTTGCTGATTTTGCGTGATGAATCATCTCCATGATTGGTCCATGTATATCCAGCAGGAATGGCAAATGGGTCTGAATCCAATGCTCCAGAAGAACATCGTTGCTGCTGCTGCTTATTTCTCAATTGGCTATTACTTCGTCTCAGCCACGTGGATGCCCCAGAAAGTGAAGAGTGGTGGCTTTCTGGTTTTTGGTGATCATCATCTTCACTGAGCAAATGTCTAGGACTAGAGAATGGTGTGTAGAATTGCTCCATAGGTTGCAGCTCCACGAACTTGGTGAACGTAATCACCACCCTCACCGTAGGGACCACCGGGATAGCCACCTACCCCACAAAGCCAAAATATCAAAAACACAAACTTTCCATCATAAATCAAATCATTCATCAATATTTCAATAATCAGTCAAATCAAATCAATTATTAAATCTTAATCTTTGGTGGGACACCACATACCTTGACCGGAAAAGTCCCCGGTGGAAACTTGGTGGTGAGCAACTCTCTCAGCCTCCTCACTGCCTTCACCTTGTTGGCCAGAATGTCCAGCAGCGGCAACAGCTCCTCCGTCTTCAACGGAAACTGCTCCGTCAGCCACACCGACGGCCGTAAACTTCTCACGTACTCCTTCTCCTTCGTCTGCGGCGGCGGTAGCGGTGGCTGTGGCTGTGGCGCCGCTCTTAACGAAGCCGAAGACCTTCTTGGCGGTGGGACCGCAATTGAAGGTAGGTCCACGCTTTTTCTACCCGATGGGACCCACTCCCTCTCTTCTCGAACGAAGCTACTGTGTCTTCTCTTGTCAGAGGAAGACACTGGCATTGGAATCTCAGCCACGAGAAAACCGTCTTCGTCTTCGTCCAGCTCCAACGGCAGCACCTGCTCGCTCCCCGCAACGTTGGAATCCCCGGCTGCGATTTTCCGTGACCGGAAGCTGAAAATCACGTTGTGCACTTCGTAAACCCGTGCCATCCACTCTCCCACGTTCTCCGTCTTATCTTGCCTTCTCCAATTCGTTCTTCCCACAAGCTCAGCCTTCGTCACATCCATTCCCGGCCGGTAAACGCTCGTCTGCGAGCAGAACCCTGCCGCGTCGGAATCGCTCATCGGAGCTTCGGCGTTCTCGAAGGCGTCGAAGATTTTCCGGTCGTCGTGGTTGAGAACGAGCAACGAACCGGAGGGGATATCGTGCGCGCGATCGCCATCGCCGAGGAAGAGGAAAGTCTGCTCTGCTCGCTGGATCTTCAGGCCATCGAAGCCGGCGAGGGAGGTGTCGGCGCGGAGGTTTCCGTCGCGCTTCCAGATTTTGTAGGTGTCGGAGGGTGCGATCTTGCCGACGAAGGGAATGACGGAGCTCTCGAAGTGAAAGGAGATCTCCATGTAGAAGTCACGCATGCGGCGGAGGACGGCGACGAGGCGAGGGAGACGGCGGCGCCACTTGGCCCAGGCGGAGCGGTGATGGTGGCGGACGAGGAGGAGGGCGATGTCGGAGGCGCGGCGGCAGAGGGCTTCCTGGAGGGGGCTCCAGCCAGCGGAATTGTGAAGGGAAACGTCGGCGCCGGCGGAGGAAAGGGCGCGGGCGGCGGAAAGGTCGTTGAGACGAACGGCGAGATGGAGAGGAGTCTCCCTGAAGGGAACATCGCGACGGTCGATGACGGCGGAAATTTTGTCGGTGAGTCGTTCCTGAGCGAGCGAGTCAGACTCAGTGAGGATTTGAGATGGGTCTGGTAATCGAGGGAGAGAGGAGATTATTCTAGAAAGGGTTGCGTGGTCTCCCAAAACGACGGCGTAGTGAGCCGGACTGTGCACGTAGTGCTCTGGCTTAATTGCAGGAAACGACGTCGGAGCAGGGTTCGACTTCGCCATATATTTTTTCAGTCTAATTTGGCAATTGCATAGAATGGAAACTCAAGAAAGAGGAACTGTGAATCTTCAGTGCTCAATTTAAGGCTTTCATCTTCACAGCTATTATTTTCATTCCCTTAGTTTTTACTCTTTCTCTTAACTCTCTTTCTATTATAACGTTAACGTAAACGTAAAAGAGTGGTTCGCTGGCGTACCGGGTGTTACTGGAACGTTATTCGTTAATTCTTTTTTTATTGCTATTAAATGAATTAATTAATGATACATTGTTGCCGGTTAATTGACAAGTAACTCTTATTAACATATATTTTTACGGAGGGAGGAAGGTTATATTTATAATTTTTTTTTTACAACTTCTTATAATTATATTTTATCATTGTTAATTTCTGTCAATCAACAGTTATTATTTATTGTAAATTAATAATTAATTAATGAGTTTAATTTATCAAAATGATAATCGTTGATTGACGGAAATCAACAGTGATAAGATATGATTGTAATAAGTTATAAAAAAAAGTTATAAATATATCGTTCCTCATTTTTATATATTAAAAAAAAAAAAGTTAAAATGTGTTTCTTGTGTGTGTATGTTGGAGAATGGAGATGCCAATGTGAATCAGAGTTTTTGGCCTCAACCTCTTTGTTATGTAAGCACACACCAGATCTAGACACCTCACTTAATCACCTGACAAATGGCTGCTGACTGCTGTTTCCACTTCAGGATTATTTCTTTTTTTATATATGATTTTTTGGATAGAGATTTCTTTTATATATTGATTAATTGATACTTGCTTGGATAATTAGATGGATTGTATCTGTTTAGATTTTGATTTGCCCCTCGTAACCTTTATTAAAATATGTAGAGAATGACTTTATCCTGCTATACATTCCTACCTGTGCTTGTCCCATTACATGTTGGGCAAAATATATATCAAGAAAAATATTTATGCTGCAAATAAATTATCTGTATTTATTTTCAAAATGACATTATTTTAGAATTGAAATATTAAAAAAATTATAATTATAAAGACTATAATAACCCTGAAACAAATTAAAATTACAAAAATACCATGATTTTTGCCTTAAAATAACATCGTATTGAGTTTACTGCAGATAATTTATCTGCATTAAATGCAGAAAAAACGAACCCAACATATATAGGATATAGTAAGGCGAATTAAAAAACTTAATTTTTGAAATAATATATTTTTTATATCAATTTTTAAAGATGTCGTCAAATTAAAACAGTTAATCTTATAGGAAACATTAAATCATAATAACTTTTATTCATTTTTTTTCGAAACAATAATTTTTATTCATAATATCTTATTACTATTTTTATATAAATTTAATTCAATCGGTGATTTATTGACCCCGTTACGGGATGAAATCCACAACATTCATCTAGGGAGATGTACTGCGTCAGAATTTCAAAAGATTATTTTGAGATAATTTTTTTTATAGATTTTAAAAGACTATCATTAATTTTAGTGATTTTAACGACTTTTTTAAAAGATTTTTTTTACAATTAAGATTTTATAAGATTTCATTTTAATAGGTTTACCAAAAAAAGAAAGAGAAAAGATTGGATTTTAATATAATTTATAAGATTTGAAAATCATATGAATTTTTAACAAACATTCGAAGTTATAAGAGTCAATAAAAAAGTTGTAATGATATTAATAAAAAAAATAAAACCTAATATAATTTTTTCAATCAATAATTAATGTAACTTGATGTCCTACTAAATAGTAACTCTTCACATATCTATACTAGCCCTCCAAAAAATTAACATGTTCTCATTCCTGCTCTTGGTTTTGACCAATGAGTTTAAAATTATCTTTTTTTTATTTGGTATCAGAGTTATGTATAAATGATTATAAGACCCATAATTTTTTTCTTTATTAAAATAATTTAAAATTTTCATATAGAATCTAAAGTTCATGATAAAATTTTGTTTGGAATTTTTTTCTATTGTTGTTGGAAACCTTGGAGATTTTGTTCTACATAACGAGAGTTTTTAAATCATATATCATATGCATGTTTTCATTGAATATTTTAATAAAATTTTGAATCTGAATTTCTAAGTTTTATTACATTAAAGTTTAGAAAATTTCTCAAATTATTGAAAATCTTTTCAAATTATTTTCAATCAATACATTGAAATCTTAAATTGCTTTGGGATTTTTGAAAACAAGTTTTTAGTGATCTATTGACACAAAAATTGTTTAAAATCTTTTCCTATAGCGAAGGAATTCGTTCATGAATGTATTGTTATAAAACATAGGATTCATATAATGAAATTTTCAATCTTTCTTAAAATCGATCTAGTTTCATTGATGTAAAACGAAAATTGGTTTGATGGGTTTTTCTCCTCTGTTTTTTCCCACTGTTTTATGTTATTTTAATACAAAAATCATATTTTTTTGTGCTAAGAAAATATCGACTCATAGCTTGAAAATCATTTTTTGAACTTCTAAAAACTCTTAAAAATCGCTAAAAGATTTGCTATTTTTGAGATGGATTATATTAGAATCTTGTTGAGTTGTTGTTTTTAGGTTATTTTGTGATGAAAATTCTTTAAAATTATGCTATTTTTGAGCTTTGACAAAGCTCCCATAGGGAATCCGATTTTGAGCGAGTCGACCCGCTAAATGAAGAAGAATTACTGTAATAGAGAAATCTCAAGAAATCCTACGGCTTAGAATGAGATTGTGAGAGAGGTATCCTACTTATACTTTTCACTAAAAAGTCTCACGAAATCCACACTAATTGAAAATTCACAAAAATAGTTAGATTTTTGAATACCACAAGATTATTTTTCTTTTGTTTAAAATCCTGATTTAATACAACTTGATTTGGACGGATTCTAAAATAATCTTTTAAAATCCTAATTGAATATCACGTGAATTTTTTTTCAATTCTTAATAATCTTAATTGAATACCAATGGATTCTTTTATCCAAAATCAATCCATTAAAATTCTTTAAAATCTCAATCCAATACATTCCCTTAAATTAAAAAAAATATCTATATTTGGGTTGGAAAATTAAACACCTCAAATAGAAATTATTTTTTAATCATACCAGACGAAATCAAAGTATGATTTCACCTGTAATGGGTGAAGCAGAAGCTGATCAGCTCCCCTTCTTTTTAATTATTTTTTTCTTTTGTTTTTGTTTTTTGTTTTTTTTGTAATAATTTTTTTCTTTTGTTAGCTCTCTGTGACTATATATAGTCCAATGAAATCCAACTCTCACCAAATTCAAGTCGTCGTAAACTCGACATGTATTAGCTACTATGTTAAACACCCATGAGTTTAAACTCAATGATTCGTGGAGGAGTTCCTTATCCATTTCCAACCATCACCTCTCTAATTAGCCCACCACATTTACTATATGCTTTTGGTACACAGCATAAGATAAAGTTTAATAATATAAAATCTGATAGCATAAAGTCTAATTATATAAGATTTGATTAAATTTTAGTATTATTTAGCATTTGACATAATATTATATTAGATAATATTATTCAGTATTTGGTAATACATTGTATAATACTAGATAGGATAAAAATAAATATTTTTAACAAAAATATCCTTTAATAAAGAATTTATATAATTAATCAAAATATGTCATATGATATTAATTTTTATAAAAATATATTGATCAGTGTATCTAAAAAATATATTACTTTTTATAAAAATAAAAATCTCCAATATTTTAAAAATTAATATATTAAAAAATTAATTTTTATTTTAATATATTCATATTGAAATAATATATTAATTCTTGAGAATTGCTTTGATTACCAATGTTAATACATCAACCTCTTATTAGGCCTAATCTCATATCCTTAGGCCTGATTAAGTTATATATCATTTTAATATATTAAGGATATTTGCTGTATAAATTTATACTATACGATGATTACACCAAATAAATAAAAATGTCATAGTGTATAATATAAACTTATACTATCAAACTTTATACTTCTTACCCAAACACGACCTCAGTTTCACTAGGCCCTCTTGTGGCTAAAATCATTCTACGGTTGCTAACATTTATGTTTATCCTTTTTTCACCTACCTAAATTAAAATCATTCTATTGAGGGTTTTTTTCTTTTTTATTTATACAGAATAATGAAAAAGAGGATATATTTTTTACAGATTAATCGATTATTGAGCCAGACAAGACCACAAAAACAACAGCAAGAGTTCTCCCCCGTTGAATTAGACTTGATTCACTTGCTCGATCATAACTTTTTCTTTCTTGATTTAGTATTTGAAATTTTTTATTTGCAAATTAAGAATTTTTATAAAATATGGAAGATGTTCAAGGACAATGAAAAACAATTAATTCATTTTATTAATTCGGATGTTCAAGTAAAGAAATAAAGTGAATGTCAATCCGAAAAAATAAATAAAAGAACAATCAATCGAATATTGATTAATACGTAATCGATCGAACACTACTTGAAAATGGCTATTCTGCGAAAAATCAATATTGTTATTACAAAAATTGCATCTAGTGGTGAAAGGTACGAATAATTTACGGAAAATAATACGTTCAAATCTCAATGTCATCATTATAATTTCTATCCAAAAAAAGTGAATTATTTATTTGGATGTTTTTTATTTAATTATTTTGTTAAAAAGTTTAAGAAAAATAATAATCCTATTACAAGATTAGAAAACGTAGTCAACCATCTCTTAAAAAAATAAAAGAAATTAAGCAAAGAGTTGAGTAGGGATAAATAAATCAATATAAGGCGTTATATAGTTTTAGAGATAAAAAAAAGAATATTCTAAATTTCTTACTAACTGTTATGAGAAAATGCGTTAGGTAAAAAAGTTTCGAAATTATTAAAAAAAAAAATAGTATTATGCAAACACATTCGTAATTTTTGAATTAGTTTTGTCATTTTAAATGACATAATATTTTGTCATTTTAAGAGATATATAGACCCAAAATATCATTTTTTATTTAAAATTTAAATTAAAAAAAATCACTCACTCTTTCCCATGATTTTCGTTTTTTGTGTCTATCTCTCTCCTAAAATAACATAACTTATTTCATTTAAAATGATAAACACCAAACCCTTATACGAAACCGTGGAAAAAAATTCAATAGAAAAAAGTAAAATCGCAAAAAAAAATTCTAGCCACTCTCTATTTTGTATATTAAAAAAAAAAGTTCTGGCCACTTGTCGAAAGAGCGATAGCTAAATATTAATTAAAAAACTTAAATTCACTGATTGAAATTGAAACGCAACGCTTACTTTAGCATAGAAACCGATGATACGAAAATGCACACTTT